AAAACATAGGCTTAGAAAAATTAATTTAGAAAAATAATTGAATGTACATATACTCTACAAAATCCCTCTATTGTCAAACATAATGTGTCCCCATAGCTTTAAGATCAATACTCTATRAYWAYTATTTTGTATTTTGTATTTACTGCAGGCTAATAACCTCAGGAGTTGAAGCCTTATTTAAATAATAAAAAAAAAAATATCACTAATACCTTATTTATTATAATATTAAGTAAAAGTAATAATGTGTACATTATAACGATATTATTTTGATATACAAATTTATTATACTAGATTTTTTTTAAATATTTTGTTTAAATCCCAGGTTTTAATGTTTTGACTTTTAAACATTATTGTTTTAAGGCGTATATGATAACAATAGAATCTAGAAAAATTTAAATCATCGAAAAAATGGAGAACGGAAATCAACTAAAAAATAATGGACGGTCATACATTACATTGCTTTGGGGAAACTTCTGAAAGCTATGGAAAAAATGTTTATTCAAAGCGCAATCTAGATAGTAAAGAAAACATCTCGTACTTTAAAACTTGTAAATTATATTCCCGATGTATATGCTCAGAATCTAAAATATGTGGTTGAATGTGTACCGGTTTCGGAATCTAAAGTTTGAATGATATAACAACAAAATTATACTTACTCCATAAAAATTGAACGAATTAACAGCAATSCGGGAAACGGCAGCGGACGCAACAGTTGAGCAAGTCCGTACAGCCAATCGCTGTATTCTGATCTGTAAACAATAACAATGGGTTTAGAGTGTTTAGACGTATTAATTAATAGATAATAACAACTATACAGAAATAATATATTCTAAATAGGTACGGGCAGGTGACGGCGCGACAGTGCAGAGGCGTCGATATATAAGATACGTATGAGTTGTGATATACGATTACATAATATATACCTATACAGTAGACGCGTATTTAATGTATATAAAATACATCTATAATAATATATAGTATAGAGTATACCCTTACATGTTTTGAAGAACAACAATGTAGCATCTCAGGTGATTGGTGTAATAGCAATCGAATTCGGCTTCCGAACAGTTAACCGGCAACTCCTCTGATGCGGAGTATATGGCAGTAATACAGGTGGACACCATGTTCGGCAGTACCCTGTTGTGAGGGCACACAGCGCTGGCACTGTGGACTCTAAAAAGGAATGACAAAAATTATTATCAAAATATTAAATTTTATTTATACATCGCAAACAGTGTTCGGACTTATCTAGATAAATTTATCTAGATATTTATCTAGATAGTTTTTTGTTCATCTTTTATCTTATCTAGATAAATAGTTATAAGGTATCTAAACGTTTATCTTAGATAAATAATTTACTAATCTAAATAAATTCATCTAGATACTTTTTTTATTGATGAAAATCGTAAGAATTGGCCAAACGATTTTTTTTAATTTTTATTAAATGTATTATT